GTCAGTTATCCGAAAGAATTCCAGTTGGCAAATTTAAATTTTCGCTAGTGCTGTGGCGCTGCAATTTTTGGCTATATCTTGGGCTACTCCAACATTTTTTTGTTAATGTGTGTGTTTTAGCTGGCAGCACTGGCACTTTTGTGTGGTGTTTTTCTGAGGACTGTATGTCATGCTGAATCAAACGTTTTTGATACTAGATTAACTTCTAAAGTATAATTTTTTTTTTTTTCAATATATTTATTTTGTTTGTAAAAAATAAAGAAATAGTTTTTAACGATACAATAGCCACGATTATTATTTTAAAAAGTTTACATTAGGCTTAACATTGACGAAAATTGAACACGAAGTGACACACAATAGAGAAAAATTTCAACATGGGATAGGTTAATATATTTTTTTGTACATAATCGGTTATCCGAAAAATAAGTTATTTGAACAACCCCAGTCCCCAATTGATTCGGATAAACGACGCTCTACTGTATGTCAAAAGTAATTAATAACTAGTAGGATTTTATTTGAAATTTCTAAAAACAGTAAAAAAGAAAAATGCTGAAAAATAAATAGTCAAACCCTGTTTATATATTTTTCAAGGAAACTGAGAAAAATATACAAATGAAATTACTTTTGAATTGCTTTCAGAGTGAATATATTGATATATTGATAGTTGTCACAAAAATATGGTCCAACACAAAATAACATCATACTACTGAATTTTAGTGTAATTCTTAACAATAAATGTTCGAATTTACTATCAATATATAATAAAATTGAACAATGTATAAAAGAAAAAGTAAGTTCATTGTAAAATTAAGTCATATACTTTTAAAAAATTGGTCAAGTTTTGTCATGTCCATTGGAAAAGAGAAAACTTTAACCATGTGAAAAATAGTCATTCTATAAATTAGTTCACATCTGACAGTGAATAATAAAAATGAATGAAAATTGAAAAGTAGTTTTTATTTGCTTAGAGAAAGTGATTCATATTACAAAACATGAGAAATAAAAATTTTCCTCATGTTGGACTGGTGGAGCAATTTGTGAAAAAGAAAAATTTGTCAGAAACTATGTCACATTATGTATTATTCAGTTTGTTTTTTGCATTTTCTACAATTTACTGTCAGTGTGAACTAACTATAAGTGAATACATAATTGTATTTTTCACTTTTTTTAATAATTACTTTAAATTTTTTCATTTTGAAGTAAATAACACATAAGTGAAAAAATACTGCAGAGTACCAAAAAATATAATGTGTAAGTGCAAAACCATATAAATGGAAAAAGTATAACTGAAGTATTTAATAATGAAGTGTCTTGAAGAAAATATTTAATGTATAATTAAGAAAAACATAACTGAGAAGCATATAAAACAGGGTTTAATTATACTTTATTATCAATAATCTGTCAGTTTTTCTAATAACTTCATGACAACTAAAATTTAATGTAATTAAAATTAGCAATAATATAATACTGAATTCTACTAATGCAATCCTAAACTGATAAGATTCTTGGTTCAATTCATACTCTACAGGTGTTGGTAATAAATGAAAGCCTGAAAGCTCATTGGTTTAGAGAATATTCTTTGTTCACTAATCACTTAAATTTAAATATAAAAAATAAAAGATGTTCGTAAAACTGATTTATGAACACCTTTCAGATCTGGACCCTAGGTAATTGTAATTATCTACTTTGACTAACTTGACTGGGCCTGTTTTTAAGTAAAAATCTGAACACACTTTGAATAGAAATTCTAGAAAAATTGTGATTGAAAAAATTTGTTGCCAAATCTGAGGATAAATTGCTAGACATAGAAAAATTGCTCGTGCATTCCTCATTCATTACCATTAGTGATGTAACGAATATTCAGTTACTATTCGGTATTCGGCTTATTCGGCCTGTTTTTTGCTATTCGGCCGAATACCGAATATTTAATCACTATTCGGCCGAGTATCGAATACCTAAAAACAAGAGTAAGAAATAACAAAAACACAGTAAATTAATCATTTTGGTATTTAGATTTAATGTTATCAGGTTAGTGTTGTTTGTTTATGTTTATTTATAACATGCACAAAATAAAAAAGAAAATAATATTAGTCACATGTATTCACAATTTATAATTACAAAGATCAGCACACGTACACACCTATTCGTTTGAGAATCGTCACACATCTGAGGTCTGACCCTGCCTATCCTTCTTTTTAAGCGCTCTTCCCTTTCTCTTTCCTCTATCGCTCTAGTCTATATAATATGCGCTCACGATACTTTCGATTCATCACTTTCCATCATAGATTTCCCATTTTACAATTACGTGACTCATAGCCTGGATAACGGAGAAAAGAGACAGATAGAACGTCGGTATAAGTCACAGTTATAATTTCATAGATTTGAGACAGCTTGGTAGCCCGAACGGCCCCAGGCTTACGCCTGTGCATGCGAATCCTGGGGCCGTATCATTACAAGCATTTAGCTTACCGAAGTCTATGACAACAATTGTTTGGCATTGACAGCCGGCGAATTTCGCGCCATTAAGCTGCCTCGACTTGTTCGATTATGTTATCAACTCAATTTCATATTTATTTTCACATTTTCACTTCGCTGTCCTTCTCTGCTCTTTTTCAGTTATTTACATGTTTAGGTCATTTCGTTGTTATCCACATTTGATATCATCATTTATCACATACTGCCATGATGCTCTTGTCTGAACTGTCAAGAATTAACGCGATTGGTGAAGCGTAGTGACAGTGGGCCAATAGAGAGCAGGGTCCTTACCATAATGCAGTTTGCGCGCCAATTTTTGTATGTGCGTTAATCAAGCTGAATAGTTTGGTTGAATATTCGGCTATTCGGCCACGCTCCTGTTTGAATATTCGGTATTCGGCCTGAGGCCAAATATACTATTTGTTGCAACACTAATTATCATGCAATGCCCCCTACCTAGTTGGCACCCTCCAAAAGCAGTAACAGTCATATGGGATATCAATCAGTGGCAAATCAAATGTGGAGAAGATGCTCTATCTACCTTAGGTTAGTTTTACAGCACAGTATGTCCATTAGCATGTTTGAATGCTTGCCACAGCAAATGGTATGAAGGATGTGCATTGAAAAAAAAGATTGGAATATTGGTTTTTAAAATGAACCAATTTTGATATATCAGGAACATTCTGATATGCTGATATATCAGATTGGTATAGGTTACATCTCTAATTAAAATTTCATATTTAGAAATAGAAGATCTAAATAATTAAAAATATACGAAAAACTCATTAATAAAATTTTAATAAAAATGCCAATTTAATTATATTCTTAATTTCAAGTAATTTGGATTTTTTACAGCTAAATTGTCTGAAATACAAAATTTTACTTATATTAATAATACATTATCTAAAGTTTTAGAGATATCATGAAAGCTTTATACTTCAATTTTACCATTATAAATAGTACATAAATACACATCAAAAGTCATTAGCAGCTTCATATATGGTTTGCTCAGTTGACAGATTAAAAATATAGTTAACAAAGATCTTTAGTTTGAATCTGTCATCTAGTAATTGTCTTTTTTTATCTACATTAATTTATCAATTTAAAATCATTATTTTATCTTGTGTTAAATAATCAAAAATAATATTCAGAAAGTTGCAAATAAGTAGTTAATAATATTTTTATTAATGAATGAAGACAATGCATTGTCTAAGTCACATGTAACTTAATTTCTATTGGAAATGCAAATATTTTCAAATTATGAAAAACTGTTTTAAAATATAGTTTGCTGCCACAGCAAATGGTATGAAGGATGTGCATTGAAAAAAAAGATTGGAATATTGGTTTTTAAAATGAACCAATTTTGATATATCAGGAACATTCTTATAGGCTAATATATTTGTGAGAATCCAGAGACTGTTTTCTTTATAAATTTTTAAAATCATTTTAATATTTTAGGAGGAGAGAAACATATAATTGAAGAGAATAAACATTCACAAATAAAGCAATGAATCAATAAATTTTAAAAATAGTATAATATAAAATGTTAATAAATTAGACAGACCACTCCCAAAAAATTCCTGAGATTTTTTTTTAATCCTAAAACATTCAATTCTGGGTCTCCCATAGTGATATATTAAGACCTTTACGGCCATTCAACCACTAAGTTGAAAATTATTATGAAGTTACTTTATAAAAGTAATTATACATAGTTTATGATATGAATTATTATATCTGACTTCCTTATAAAATGTTTTGAAGTTACTAGTTGTTCTGCTCAGTTGTGAATGATTATTATTTTTGTTTTCTTTATGTTGAAATTGTAATAGCAAATTATATTAACTTAGATTTAAGTATTTAAGTTAAATTATATTAACTGAAATAGTTAATTTAATATTTGAATTATAAATAATTGTTTCGTGTTTTATAATCTGTATAAGTTTAGCTATATAATTATTTCAAAGAATGGTTATTTTCATTAAAAATTATATATTTTTATTTAAGGTCTTGGTTGTTCATTCTACATCAAATAGTTCCTATCCTACTCCGTGTAGAAGCAGTTTAAGTTCACCATTTCATATGTATAAATCTCCTAATGATACTCCACAAGGATCACAATCTCCTAATTTGACTACCATTTCACAGTCATTAATGAAAACTTTCAGAAATTCTCTATCATTTTCAGTAAGTTTTTTAATATTATTTAAATATTTGATTTTTTTTTAATCAGTCAATCAATCAATGCATTATTCAAGACAGAAGGTTTTTCCAGTTACAGAGGATTTTAAAAAATTGGTCAAGTTTTGTCATGTCCATTGGNTGCATTTATGTGCATTTGACATTTTACTTGTGATTAAACAAAATAAAATTAAATTGTATTAATAAATCTAATTTTCTTTATTTTGATCTTTAAAGTCACATCTTGTCCTATATGCGAGATTCTTATAAGCAAGTAAATACGGTAATTAAATTTTAAAAACATTATATAATTAATTAATAAATTTTGAAGGCATTATTTTGTAATTATGGATAATGTTTTCAAAATATAAATTGCTTTAAGATGTTACAATAATCTCCTTCATTGCAAATTTGTCTTGAGTAATTCAAAGAAAATTACCAGAAAGTGTATTTATTTTTTTTGTTTTAAAATGATTGAATAATTTAATGAAAGGATGTTATATCTTGTATTTTATATTTTAAAATATTAAAGTGCATTAAGATGATGCTGTAATGAAGAGAATCTTTACCAATAAATTTTCTTAAAAGATTCTTAAAAGTTTTCTTTTGTAATAGGAAGAAGCTACTAAAGTTGAAGTTCTATGTTTTTTAAATTTATTTCTGTTGATATTAAGTTTGGAGAACTTCAAAATATTAATAATAGCTATTGGTTAAATGGATAATTTATATGATAATATAGAAAACATTTATAAATTTAGTTTTAAATACAAATATTTTAATATACCTATCTATTAATAATTAACATGTAAGAAAATTTGAGTTATTTTTCTAATGTATTTAGCAGTGAATCAAATTGTCCAGCATTTAATATTCTCTCTCATCATTCCTGTTCTGATTCTACAATTCAAAATTCTGAGAAAGATTCTTCTCAAATATCAACACTTTCACAACCTTCAACATCTAGCAGGCCGATTCCAATGAGTCGTCTTGATCAAAAACGCTTGCAGTGGGAAAAAGAAAGAGGTATTTAAAATTTTGCACTACTTTTTATTATAACCATAATAAAAAAAATTATATCATTTCAAATGTATAAGCTGGAACCTCAGTTTTACAATATGACAAAATTATAATTTGAATGAGCTTGGAAAGGAGCATGGTGAGCTTTTTAGAAAAACAAACTTTTTGTCTAATTTGTTTAGCATTTTTGATAGTTTTTCAGTGAATAAAAATAAGTTTAAGAAAAAAAAATTATTCCAAACAATTGAAGATGCATCCAAACTGTTTGATTATAATTTTTATAAATAAAGCGTAAAGAAGTTTTAATTTTATAACAAAAGACTTTTTATATTTGAATATAATTAGAAATATTCATTTCAACATTATTTCAAATTTATTTACTCAATTTTTATTATTTATTAATAATTCTTATAGGTAAATTAATTAAATACATGTGATTGAATAGATGGAACCAGTAAAATTTTTAGCATTTTTCTGTACATTATGTAGAAAAAAAGAAAAAATTAAATAATTATAATATTTGTTAAATGTGTTTTTATTTTTAAATTTAATGTTATTCTAAAGTAAAATTGCTTTTCATAAACATTACATCATTATTTATCATTGTGTAAGAACTAAGTGAATTTATGATAAAAACAGCTATACATGCAATGATGCATGTTAAGTTCTTATAAAGGAAAATATTGAAATTGAATGCAATGTTTATAAAGGAACTAAAAAATTTATATTTTATCAGTCTATTTGATATTTTTCTGTTTGTATTTAATAATAATATAGTTATTATCTTACTCAGTTATGAAAATAATTTATTTTTATTTTTAGCTGAAATGCAAGAATGGAATCCTTGGGGTAAACCAGGTGCTGGTGCTCCTAGAAACAGACATTCTGCTTCACAGGGATTATCAAAAACTGAATCACAGGTTTGAAATTTTTACAGAAATTTTAATACAGTAGAGCGTTGTTTATTTGAAAGTCGGTTATCCGAAACATCAGTTATCTGAAAGAATTCCAGACGGCAAATTTAAATTTTCGCTAGTGCTGTGGCGCCGCTGCAATCTTTGGCTATATCTTGGGCTACTCCAATATTTTTTTTGTTGATGTGTGTGTTTTACGAGGGCTGTTCGGAAAGTTCACAGCCTCAAATAGAACAACAAACCAAATAATGTTAAAACTTTTTTTATTTTTTAATGTAGTCTCCTTTGTTAGCAATGCACTTATTCCAGCGATGTTCTAGCTTTTTTATGCCATTACAATAGGTCGATTTGTCAAGGTGTGCAAAATACTCGTTTACTTCAGAGATGACTTTGTCATTTGAGTGGAATCTCTTTCCAACCAAGAATTATTTTAAATTTGGAAAAAGGTGGAAGTCACTGGGGGCCAAATCAGGTGAGTACGGTGAATGTGGAACTAATTGGAAGCTAAGTTCGTTTATTTTTTGTTCAGTGATTCTGGCATTATCGTGGTGAAACAGAACCTTCTTCTTCAAGTGTGGCCTCTTCGATTTCTTTCTTCAGTTTTTCCAAAA